ACTATATTTATATTATCAGAAGCTACATTCTGAAAACTATAGTTTTGTTAGAACATTACAAAATACTAGATTACATTTTAAAAGGAAAAAAAGACTTCAAATAGCATATATATTATGTTTCAACAACAAATAAATCTCTGGAATTTTTTAAGTGATATTTATTTTAAGTCGGAGGAAATAACTTGATTTTACAACACTCAAATTTTAAGAAATAGTCTAAGAAATCCAAGCTTTTAAATATATGCTATAAATATATACAGTAATAAATAAAACTTTAAATGCATTTTAATTCAGCAGTGTAAAATACACAATATTTCCACACCATTTTGTTTTTGACTTAATGCTTACATTTTGGTAAGTTTTGTTAGAAATACATGACTAACACTCCTACACCATTAAGCATTTTATTGAAAAAAATATTATTGCATTGAACTACAGTCCAAGTTATTTTTTGAATAACTTAAATAAGCTGATTTGCATGTACAGTAGTGCAATTTACTTAGCCACAGTATAATCAAAATTGCTTTGAAGAGAGAATACAAAATTAAATGATTGGTTTATAACATATTGCCAGCCTATCATTCAATGTAAGTATAATGGAGTAATGTGAAATTTTGCTGTGGACAGCTACACAATAAATTTATATTATCAACTATTTTGAAATCTCTTACATATTGAGGGAACTGACCACTTTGCATGAGACAAGATATATCTTCTTGAAGTTGATTGTCTCAATATGTGAATTGTCTTTAAATAAAACACTGTAAAAATATCACTATTTTCAGCAAAGACTAAGATGAAAAACAAGAAAAAAAAGAGTATATTAATTTGCCCACATACAAACTCACATATGCACTTATACATGTAATATTTTTGTTCCCATTTCCTGACTTATTTCTCAGTTTCTAGCAAGGTATCTTTGACCTTGCTATGTAAGAGAGGCAGTGGGTTGTAAAAATAGGAAGTGACTTTGAGAAAGGAATTAAGAAATTGGATTGTAAGCTTTTCCTCTTCTATATAGCTGCAGAGAATAAAAAGGACCCTTTAGCTTATCTCTAATATTGGCTTATGCTAAAACTAACCCATTCAGCCATTGCTTCCATTTTAATACAGCTTAAGTCCCCAAAGTACAACATTCATCGTCACCTATCTACGTAACAGAAAAAAAAGGGATAGTTTTGCTGGAATGAAATGACTTTGAAAAACCTCTAGGCTCAGGCTTAGTGGGAGGAGGACTCCTGTGTTAAAGCTCACATCTCAAAGAAGTGGTCTCAGTCTGTGACACTAAGGGCAGTCATGTATTTTCCTGACTCTTGCATGGAACTGGCCACCCACTGCTTTTTAATGTTTCTGTCTCTCAAGGAGAGCACAATTCAGGTCAGGCGTTCACCTAATTTAAGGATCCAAAGTTAAGCTGCTTCCTCATTTTTGCTGAGGCAGAGACAAGAATTAGCTATGTCCATAGATATGAGGAATTTGGGTCTGTTAAATTGTGGTTTTAGAAAGCTGGATCTGATAGTTACACATTTTTCTTCAGAAAATTTAAATCCTCCTCTAAAAAAATAATGGGGAATTTGGAGGGAAGATGGAGAATTATGCAGTGGTTTGAGATGATTGTCTATGTCATTTCTAGCAATCTCCTTAAGATAGGCAAATCTGCCTACATTCTTGGGACAGAAGGTGGGTGTTTCATTGATTTTTAACTAGAATCCTGGAATACAGGGCATTCCATTGTTCCTATTTGTGCAACACTTCTCTGTCTCAAGTTAGTGTTTTCAAAAGTTGAAATACATGATAATTTTGGACAAACTGTATTGTTAAAAATTTTAGAAAAGTATGCTGCTGCTGCTGCTGCTGCTGTCTTTGGGTACTGGGAATGGGAAAACATGCATGAAGGAGATAGTCAGACCTTGCAATGTAATCCTGAGTAATTCATCTGACTAAATATCCCATTTAATGGAAAACTTTTATAAGATTAGTTCTTTTAAATATATTTCTATTCAGTGATAACAGAGATTCCATTAAGACCTTGTAGAGAATGAAGAAAAATAGGCCCTGTCAAATCCATTTTCTGTAAGTGAGACAGAAATTTGAGATCATTTTGTAAAAAATGTCTACCTAAGGACAAAATTCCTTGGAATTAGGAACTTTGTATAACATTTTTGTTTTTCACCCACTTCTCAAATTTCACTTTATTTAGAACATTTACAGTTGAACATAAAGAGAATATTAGGGTGCAGATTTTATAGCCTCACTGCATTTTTTCTTGATGAATTTGATAGTGATTAAAAATACACTTTACTAATTTTTGAGTTCATCATACAAAGCATTTACTTTGTTGAATCAAACCTGAATCCAGAGAGACTGGTTCTGTATTTTTATGGATAAATGTCTAGATACTTGTGTGTTCAAGTGTACATGTAGACATATCTGCAAATAATTTATAGCTTTTCTCTAAAGATTTTTAAAATTTAGCATTTGTAGTTTGACAGACACAGAAACAAATCTCTATGACCTAGGAGTGAAAGAGTAGTCTCATAAAGGAATTATCCTATAAATATCAGTTAATAGTCAGAAAAATGCTCAAATCAACTATCAAAGACTTTGAAGAATATAATACTGAAAATATAAACCATCACAGAGGCATTTTTTAAATTTATTTATTTTTATTTTCTGTGTATGACTATTTGACCTGCATATATGTATATGCACCACATATTTTTTGCCTGTTAACTTCAGGGGCCAGAAGAAGGTGTTAGATACCCTGGAACTGAAGTCACATATAGTTCCTAGCCATCATGTGGGTGCTAGAAACCAAACCCTGGTCCTCTGCAAGAGCAGCCAGTGCTCTTAACTACTGAGTCATCTCTCCAGTCCCCATGGAATTTTTTTAATGGAACTATTTTTCTAATAGAGTATAAACTTAGAATTCTGTTTCTTAGTTTCAATAATGTGTTCCCTTAAAAGTAAAGTGAAAAATTAAAATCCAGTATCTTAGCTCACAGACTCTTGTTAATAAAGTAAGTTTCTAATAGCACCATGGCTGTTTCGATGTCACAGCTTTTATAACTTTTCACACTGAAGAAACTATTCTTATTTAAGTGGAAAGACCTTCTTGCCTATCATCTGAAGTAGGATGATATCCAGTGAGCACTTTCATCACTGCTGCAAGATGAGCAGGACTTTCCATGTCAACACATACTGTCTTTGTCAGTCAAAACTGAGTGCCCAACATAGAGCTTCTCTTGTTTAACCTCCTGAGACACTAAATTGTGTCCAAGGAAATTATACAAAATACTTAAGTGCTCTGTATTTTACATAATCAGACTCCTAGTGACTTTTGAAAATTACTCTGTATTGGCTTTGTGATACCATTATAATATGATCGAGTAAATAATTATCCATATTATTTGATCTGCTTAGCAAGTTATTTATCTACTTTTGTAATAAAATTCAATTCATTGTCTTTTTAGCGTGATTTATTCAACATTCACTGATATTTGATGCTTTTACAGAATGGTACACAAATGTGGAGCTTCATGCTAGTTGGTAAATGTGTTTCATATTTTATATTCCTTTTTTAAAAGCTAAACTTTATTATTCCTATATTTAAATGAAAAACTCCCAGCTACAAATGTTTGGTGTTATCTTGAGAATTATATTTTTTCTTTATGTCGACATTTCAAACTGACTTTTTTTCTTTCCATTCTTTCCACTTTCCATTTGTCTCTCCTGCAGCAAAGATATCCTTTCCCACTATCTAGGAAGAAAGGAGCATGTAACCTTTCAACTTCATGATGACACCAGGAATGATAATCTTGACCTCTACAATCATGAGATTGAGATAACATGGACCAAGTGTTTTGTCTGACTATGTTAAACAATGTGTCTTCGGTAAGTAGAGCTACCACCCCAAGCACTAGAAGTTCTTCTCACCTAGTTGTTGGAGCAATTACATCTTCATCTCTTTACCAGATAAAGGAACACCTCCTGTTCTGCTTAGCTTAATTGTCTCTGAAACTTATGGTTATTGGAAATGTAGAGTGATGCCTTTTTAAATTACAAGGACATAAAATTATAAACCTAAATAGATGACATATTTATTCCTGAATATAAGAAATGTAAATTCTATGGGCCAGAAAATCTTTTGACTGAAAAGATCATTTGCAAATTTATGGATGAAAAAGTTCTTCACCATCTTTCATTGTATTTTAAGACTATTAAATAAATTTAAGCAAAACATAGCATATAGCTTATCACATCTTCTGAAGAAACATGTAAAAATATTGTCCTTTCTAAACCTGGTACTTCTCCACTTCTTGGCTGAACACAATAAAGTTTCTCAGCAGAAGAACAAAGACAATATGATATTTTAGTTCCTGTACTATTTGAAAGATTTACCAATATATTCAAAATATCATTCTACATATATTTTATTGTAATTTTGCATTACTAAATACTAATAATATTTTCTGTATGCTTTCAAATACAAAACTTAAACATTCTTAATTTTATGTTATTGCATTACTCTTACAATTTATAAGATCTTGATATAGTTTCATATGAAGTGACATAAATTGATCTTTCACCAAATTTCAACAATTTGTATAAAGTTAGTTTTGGGAATTGTTTTCAATTTGCATTGATCTGAAAACCTCTTCCTTTCTCTTGTCTCTTATGAAAAATATGTTGCCAGACAATATTTATTGATAACATAGTCAAAATCTAACCACAGAAATTTTTCTTAAGTATTGGTTCATTTCACTGACACTTTAGTATTACTTGACAAAAGTGAAACTTACATTCATTCATTCATCAAACACTTAAAACGTAGGGTATTCTATTCTATTTTTTCATTATATTAATTCTGTACCTGAATGTTTCCTATTATCATTTTATAACATTATATGAAATCTTATTTCAAATAATTCTTTAATACTTCCCCCACTTTCTCCCCATAAAATTATTTTAAATTTGCTCTATTATTTTTGCCAGACAAAAGAAGTTCTTAAAATTTTACTGCTTCATTATTGATAATTCAACTTACATTTATGTATGAATTACATTTTGATTTGGCACCATTATTTTAAATCTTATATCAGATAGATGATTGTTAATACATTATTTGCAGGTAGTGTCATTTTGTTTTGTTTATCCATAAAAGGAGCTCTAACTCCTATTAGTTCAAGTGTGCTGACATATTTAAGGCTTCTTTCACTCCATTTAACTGTTGTATCTGGCTGGAGCAAGAATGATGGCAAAGATCTTGACCTTGGAACACAGGTTGAATTAAAGAATTTAAGTGGATGACAGAAGTTGTGGCTGGGTTTAAGTGAGGACCAAAAAATGTGGGGATAAATGCTGCAGGAGGCAGGGGCTGGACTGTTATATGAGATGGGTGAAAAGGGGCAGCAGAGACGAAATGTAGGGGATGACCTAAGAAACTGGGGTGTGTAGGGACAATGGCTGGAGCCATGGTAGAAAATGAGATGGGGGTGAAATGTGGCTGTGAAAGCGGATGTAGATGAGCTATTGGGAGGTGACTACTATGGGAACTTATGGACGCAGAGACGGCAAAGTGCTGTAGGAATGTGTGGTGGATGGTAGTGATGGATGTGTGCTGGTGAACTGGAACTGTCTGCAGAGCTGAGGTCTGGGAGAAGGCAGTGGTCCCTGCAGTAGGCAAAACTCGAAGATGCTTTGACAGAAGCTGCTTTTGCATATGCTGCTGGGCTTGTAGCTGTAGAAGTTTGTATTTATCTATCTCATCAGGAGAAAATGTTATAGGCTGTTGAATCAATGGAGGAGAGAGAGATTTATGACACACTTCTAATTCATCTTCCACTTTGTCATGCTTCTGCATAGTTCTGTCATAGTAAGTGTTGGTATTCCTCTCTGCATGATTCATGCACATGCTTACATCCTGTAAGTCTAGATTTATTTGGTCCTCTTTGGTCTCTGTTGAATCAGTTATACCAGTATGTCTATTAGTCTGAAAAGCACCGGGGAAATCATTTGGTACTGGGTCACAGCTTTGAAGAAATGGTTGGACTTCACTAATTAAAGGTTTAGATTGTTCTTTTGTTATTGGGTTCTTTTTCCTGCTTAAAGACTGAGACTCTGTTACGGTATGATTTATACCTGTACAAAGATGGTTATCACATTCGGTGTCTGCTAAAATGGTAAAATTATTTGTCTTTGGGGTTTTGATTTTATCTTTTTCAGTAGTCCTATGAACTATATTGTCTTTATCAATTTGTCTTTTGCTCATGAATTGTCTTTTCTCTGACAAAGGCAATGCTGTTCGGTTGCAGCTTTGTGGTACAAGTTGAATTGTGCATTGGATTTGAGAATGAGTCTCTGATTCTTTTATAGAACTGTTTGAGGAGACCTCAAACTTAGATGATTGTTGCTGAAACTTCTTGGCTTGGACTCTTTCTAAAAGGCCTTTGGCAGTCAGGGGCATCCTTTTTTCTACAGCATTTAAGTCTGCAGTTTCTGAAAGGCCATTAGGACAGTTCTGTAGAAGGTATTTAAGAGCACCCGAGTTGTACTGTCTGCCTATGACTTCTCCCACTTTACAAATATGAGGGCTGGCCAAGGACTTTGGACTTCTTTTGCTTTTATTTAAGTAATGAATTCTTTGTCTTGAGTTGGAGCCCAATTTGCTGCACTTTGGTCTCTGGTCATTAAAGGGTTTATCATTGCTTCCAGCAAGGGGAGTCTGTGAGCTAGAATCACAATGCATAATTCTTGTGGATTTTGGCCCTCCAAGTTGCTGGTTTTTATCCAGCTTATACCTTTCTCTACAGTGACAGTACCTGTATTTTGAGTGTCTTTTCTTTTTAAATGAGTCCCCCAATTTACAGTTCCCATGTTTCTGAGTTTCAGACTGAGGGCAGTTACTGCTTATTTTCTCATCAGACAAGTAGAGAGAGTTGTGCTTCCTGTATTTCCACGTGTGCCTTTCAACCGAGTTGCATTCTCTTTTACAAAAGTAGAGCAAATTACTCCTGCCTTGGCCACTTGTCTTGTGACATGAACAAGTGCTCCTCCAGCTGGAAATGCGCCCAGAAGATGGGTCCAGAGGGCTGGAACAGCCAGTCAGAGACGGCTTTGGAGAACATCTCTTGTAACTTCGGTTGCCACATGCAGAAGCACTGCAGGTCGTGCTGAAGTTGTGGCTATTTTTGTCCTCACTGTAACCCCCTGTTGTATAAGGACTAGAATTCCAGATATACTGGGTTTCATCTTCAAACTCTGAATGTGCACTGCAGGTATTCAATTCATGCTTTTTAGGCCTAGAGACATGAGGAGGGCAAGACAAACCCTCCTGAGCATTATTTAGAACTGTTCTTTTGCCACTTTGCCAATGGGTTTGTGTAGATCCCATAAATTCATTATCATCAGCATTATCCTTCTTTGTGCAGTCCTTTATAGATAGATTAAGGTAAGTAGGCCCTTCAGGAATTTTTGATCCCATGTCCCTTGGACTAACATTATGTTTGTTCTTACTAGACTCATGATGAATGTAGCCCAAACTGTATTTTCTCTGGAACTGTTGCTGATCTGAGTTAGCTGTAGCAGTCTTTAGTTTCAGAGATTGATTTTCTTGGTTCGATGTTTGTTGGTCTCCTAAACCTGAGCCTTGGCTCTCTGTTTTTGTCTTCATTTCCAATTCTGTTTTAATATTCTCTGAATTATGCTCCTCCTTTGGGTTCCTAGAAAGCTTAAAATCAAAATATAATGGATTGCAGCCATAAGAAATGCAGGGCTCTGTTCTGGTAAAAAACAGAAGTTCCGTAGGCCACTGTAGAGTGGTGCGGCCATCTTTGCTCTGCACGTGGAGAAAAGGGAATGATTTGGATTTGACATCGTGGGGGCAACTTTCTCTCCAAAGTCGTGGCATATTTTTGCTAACTCTTTCTACTTCATTTAAAGATTTTGCTCTGTTCTCCACTATGGAATTAGGATTCAAATGCACATTACTCTTTTGTTCACTTGACCCTAGAGACAAAAATTCATCCGGACTTTCACATAGCCTGGCCTCACTGTGCTTATACATGGTTAGTGAGCTGGAGGAATAATTTGTTTGGCATGGGTGATTAATGCAATTTTCTGAATTGTTCTTCAATGTGGTCCTAATTTCGTTCTCTCTCCCGGAAGTCATAAAATCTGCTTCTGAAACATGTATACTTGATTTGGAGAAGGAAGTATGACTGTCTGTTGAATGTTCTAGTTTCTCATTAAAAGATTCCTTCCTGTCTTGCAATATTTTGGAGTTTGTGGTGAACGTGTTATTTAAAACATTCTCCAGATGTCTTGGGGAAGTCTTGACATCTTCCTCCTTGGTGAGATTTATAGCCTCGTTTGCAAACCTGCAACACTTGCATTTCTCCACTGTTTGTTTGACTTTATAGGCAGGTGACTTGTTACAGTCATGAGTTTCTTCTGTGTTCTCACTGAAAACTGAGGCTGAAGATTCTAATTTTAGATATGCTTTTTTTGAAAATGAGAATGACACGCCTGTCCTGTGGTTGACGTTGCTGAGATCTGAAGATGTTTGTGTTATCCTATTGCCAAACAAATAGCATCTGTCTGATGGTAGCTGGTGTCGATTTGGCAAGGTAAATCGCTGCTTGTCTGTAGTGCTTCTGGAGAGATTCTTTCCCTTAAGGAGAAGGGCGCTCTTCATGCATGATACCTTTCTGCCATTCTTAACTGGGAAAATTCCCTGCTGGAGTTGCTTTTCTATGGCTATCCTGGGGGCTTTGAATGCTGGTCCATTTCCAGAAACACTGTAAATACAATAAACAGTTAAATGAGTGAGGCATTTGCATTGGAGTCATGCCTTATGCAAACATTCCATAGTCTTTCTATGCTGTCATTTTACTATTTATTGATGAACGTTATTTTTTTCATAAAATAACCATTTTTTCATGCTTGTACAAGTCAATATAATGATTATTTTTGTTGTTTATTCTGAACTGTACTAATTCTATTATTTAGAAATTAATGCAAAGCAATAGCATGTAACTATCTTATGCCTAGTGTCATAAAAGAAAATAATGTGCTTATATCACAACATATGTCCTAGGAGCTTATGGAGTACAGATTCAACATGTCTCATAGTTTCTAGTCAGTATATTTATATTAGATAATAAGTTGGGTCATAGTTGTAAATCATAAAACTATTTATTTAATTTGATTTTCAACAGTTGTAGCACTTCACATGTAGTTCCGCAGTTTTAAATTCCTTCAGGTTTACTTCCTTTTGACAAAAGGTGGTTAGTTCATTTCTTATAACTAGCCAATGAATACAGTAGAAAGTAACCCTCATTTATAAGCAGAATAAAAATTCAAAATGATTTTGCAATATTTCTCTTGTCTCTTACTAAAATATATTTATGTCAATTGTGTGTTACATGTCTTAAGGTTTTTTAAAGATAGTTCTTTAACTGGAGTTCATCAGTTATTCAAGCAGCAAGCTGGAAATGAGCATACATACATAGAAGCTGTTAGATTAAAATTATTTGTTTCTTTTACATCCTATCTTTTAGCTTTTTAATACAAAACAAGGCTTACTGTGGAAAAAGCTATGCAAATCATGCTTTTATGACTTTAGTTTGAACTGCCATTATGTTCCTTTTTCTTTTTCCATTTACCTGGAAGCACATTTAACTTTTTTTTTCTGTTTTAGATTTTCATTTTTATCTAATCATTTGTTTCTTGACTATAAGGTATAAAAACATACATCTTTATATGTCATTTAGATTCTAAAAGAGAAAACTGCTTGGCAGGTAGCTTCCCTGTGGCTCTGTCCAGTCAGAAGGGATCTCTGTAGACATTCATTATCCATCAAATTTTATGTGATTTGCTTTATAATCTTTACCTGTGAGATGGCATTTTCATTCTTCCTACATCTAAAATGAATTGTTTAACTATCCATATGCTCTGATAATTTCTCCTTTTAATTTTTATAAAATACATTTATTATAATTAACAAGTAAGTATAATACTGATTCAACAGGTTATTTTATATTTGGCAGAACTCAGACCATAGCTCTTGGCCGACCTCCTTTGGGTCATTTTTACTGGAACTTTTTAAGCATGTCCATTTTTTTTTCTTTGGTTCAGAAACATTTTCTTCCTTGGTTTCTCTGATTACTGCTTTGTTGTTGAAGTTGTTGCTTATATATTGCATTAGTTTTTTACTTTTCTGAGAATATCCTTTAGGCCTTATTATTTATCTCAGTGCTCTACTGGTTTTAACTTTTTAAGCTAATTTTTGTATCAAGCCAATTTTATGTATTTAATTTCTATTTTGCTGACTACATTTTCCACATTGTTACAATCAGCTGTCTTCTCTTCCTATAGGAAATGTAGTGTATAAACAATAATTTTTACCACTATTCACTTTATAATGATTTCACATTTTCTGTTGTTGTGAGTTAATGGCTAGCTTTATAATTATAGTATTCTCAATTATTGTATGGAAAATGAAATTGGTGATTTTATAAAATAGTAATTATTCCTTACTTTAACTGATTAACGATGGCACCTACTTTTTTTCCTTCTCTTTCATTAATCTTCGTGCTTTGAATAGTCTCACACTGCATCTTAGAAAGGGGATTTTAGGCATTTGTGTGTGTGTGTGTGTGTGTGTGTGTGTGTGTGTGTGATGAATAGGTAGGAATATTCAATCACAATGGTGGCTTATTGAATACTTTTTCCAGGGTGAAAGATCACAGAAATTTACTGAAGTGTTACTTGAGCCTGGGTACAGAAAACTGAGGCTCAGAAACACCTTGATCCTGGATATTTGTCTGGGTGGTAAGGAGATTAAGCAGCAACTATGTCTCCTAATAAATAAATTAATTTCTTCAGGAGCATTTGTTAATTTCCTATAATTGGCACTATCCTCAGCAGAAAATCTTCCAAAATGCTAGTGTGGGAATATTATACTTTTCTTCTTCAAACTACTCCAAATTCCATTTAAATAAAGATTTTTAGTGCTTCTAAATTATGTTTTTATTTATTTATTTTTAATTTGTTTCATTTATTTGTGTGTGAGAGAGTGCATGCATGCAGTTGGGTGTGCCATTGTACATGTGTGGAAGTCAGAGGACAACCAAAGGGAGTAGACCCTCTCCTACCTTCAGGTTCAAACTCAGTTTGTCAGGGTGGGCAACAAGCGCCTTTACCCACTGTATTAGTCACTTTTCTGTTGCTGTGATAGAAACACTGACCAAAGCAATTTATAGAAGGAAGGGTTTGTTTGAGCTTACAGTTCCAGGGGAATTACAGTCCATCATGGCAGGGAAGCATGGTGGCTGGAGGTGGCTGAAGCAGAAGCAGCAGAAGCTAAGCTCTCACATCATCACACAGGAAGCAAGAGGGTGACTAGGGATCTGGCAAGGCTTAAAAACTCTCTAAGCGCACCCCCAGTGTTGTGCTTCCTCTAGCATAGCCACTCCTTCTAAAACCTCCCAAAACAGCACCACCATGTGGGGACAAAAATGTCAAAATACCTGGAGCTTATGGGGGACATTGTCTTTCAAACCATCACATTCCGCCCCCTAGCCCCCATAGGCTCATGATCATATAAATAGAAAAATGCATTTAGTCCAACCCTAAAAGTCCCCATAGTCATTATCAGTCTCAATATTATTCAAAAGCCCAGTCTCTTCTGAAAGTCAGGTAAATATCTTAACTCTAAGCCTCTACAAAATCAAAAGACAAATGACATACTCCCAACATACAGTGGAACCAAATACATATTACCATTCCAAAAGGGAGGAATGGTGGCATAATAAGGAAATACTGGATGAAAACAAGACTGAAAACCAGCAGGGATAACACCAAGTCCAGTAGCTCCATGTCCAACTTCTGGGGCTTTACTTCCAAAGGGTTTAGATGGCTCAGCCTCTCTAGCTTTGCTGTGTGCAACACACATTTCTCTCTTGTGCTGGTACCACTCCCTGTATGTAGGTCTTGGCAGATGCCTCACAGCTTTGGCATCACGAACATCTTGGGGTCTCCATTGGCAACCAGGCATCACCTTCACTGCTTCCTGCAATGGCTTATCAGAGCCTTCTCTAGGCAGGGGCACCCCTACTTCACTTCACGCTGCCTGGCCTCCAAAGCGCTCTGAAACCTAGGAGGAAGAATAGATGACCCCTTCACTCTTCCATCTTTCATGCCTCTAAAACCAGTACTGGGTGAACGACACTGCCAAGTTTGACTACAAGTTTGGGGTGGACTCCAGCCTCCTTTATTCATTTTAGAAGCTTTTCACTTCCATGGCCCCTGCAACATTTTCCTTTTACAAGCTGGAGGCTTAACTGGGTATGTTCTAGCCCTGGAGGCACTCGCTCCACTGTTTAAATCCAAATCTCTAGGCCCCACCTTAATCACTTTAATCTCCTTATCAAGGGGATCTTCTCCAGCACATGCCAAAGCTCCAATATTTATCTTCCTAGTGCTCTTTTTCAATCCAAACTGTATTTCTTTCTGTCCCATTTTCTCTTTTTTCACTATAGATCTGCATAATATTCACCATTAATATCCATGCCACCATTTCAACATTAGGCTATCTTGAAATTTCTTCCACCAGACAAATTAGTCCATTGCTTTTCAACTTAGCCTCAGGCAAGCTTTTAGGTCTAGGGCAGACTCCAGCCAGACTCTTTGCCAAAATATCCCAAGTGCTGCTTAAGTCCTTATTTCCCCCTGGAACTACATTGTTCTCAGCACTACTTTCTTCCAGGTGTTTACTAGAACGGCCTGTTAAGCTCTGCTTACAGCAATCAACCACTTTTCTAGCCCCAAATTCCAAAGTCTTCCACATTTTTCCAAAACCCCACATGGTCAGGTTTTTCAGAGCCAACACCTGGTGCTAATTACTGTCTTAGTCACTTTTCTGTTGCTGTGATAGAAACACTGACCAAAGCAATCTATAGAAGGAAGAGTTTATTTGAGCTTAAAGTTCCAGGGAATTACAGTCTGTCATGGCAGGGAGGCATGGTGGCTGGAGGTGGCTGGAGCAGAAGCAGCAGAAGCTAAGCTCTCACATTATGCAGGCACAGGAAGCAAGAGGGTGACTGTTGATCTGGCAAGGCTTAAGAACTCTCTAAGCCCACTACCAGTGACGTGCTTCCTCCAGGATAGCCACACCTCCTAAAACCTCCCAAACAGCACCACCATATGGGGACAAAATGTCAAATACCTGGAGCCTATGGGGGACATCCTCATTCAAACCATCATACCCACTAAGCTATCTTCCTGGATCCCAGATTATGTTTTAAATATATTTTTTCTTTTTAAAATTTAATTTATGATCATTGGTGTGTGTGTACATGTGGTATGTAAGTGTACATTTGCTTGCTGTGGAGGTCAGAGTACAATTTCAAGTTTGTTTTCTCCTTCCACCATGGCTTGTCAGGACATCAGGCATCTAGCTGGGCAAGGCTTCTATGTGCTGAGTCATCTCTGCGGCCTTACATTTTCTTTATATGCATTTCCTCCTCTGATTTGCTGCTTTATTTTTTATTTTACTGTTTATCTCTCTAATGCTCCTGCTTCTTCTTGTTATATTGTTTTCAATATTTTAAATCCTCTTCCTCACGTTTTAATATTATATTTTGTTGTCTGTTTCTGGACTTTAATTCCTTCCTGTCTACAGTTTGTAATCAAATCTGCATTTATGATTATGATTAATCATGGTTTAACATTTTATCCTCATTGTTAATCTTGATTACCTCTTCTTTTAATGCTTTAAATGTTTTTGTTGATTTATGAACTTTAATTTATTTAATATTAAGTATAATTTATTTTTATTATTTTGGAAAATCCCAATTTTCTGTTTTTGTGTTTTGCATCTTAATGTTTTAATGTGAGATTATAAATTATAACAGTGTTAAAGCTTTAATTGTTTGTAGATTATTGGATATAATTGGCAAATAAAATTACAGTTATTCTAGGTCTATGATTTGATGATTCGATGGAGGTATACAGTGTGAATTAATACCACAATTAAATTTGGTGACTCATCCATACCATACATAATTACCTGTGTCTGTGTGTATGTGTTCACTTAAGATCATCTGCCTTAGTAAATTTCAAGTAAACAATATAATTACAATTATAAGTACAGTCTAAGGATCCACAGTGGATCTTGAGGACTTAGATCTGAAGGTGTGTATGTACAGATCATTCTTCCAGTTCCCCATCCTCCAATGGTCATTCTACCCTCTGTTCATTTTATAGTTACCAAATCTGTTCTCTCTTTCTTTTCTTGGGAACTGTCTTTAGTTTATTTTTAGGTTTCTGTGAATTTAACTATTTTTGCTTGTAAAAGCTAGTAAGAGACTATAGAATTAGTCATTTAACTCTTAAAAATGGGTTGCACATTCTAATATTTGCCCCCCAATTCTAAAGCTAAGCAACTTACAAATTTTACAAAAAATTTATTGTCTCCTGTGGGAAAAAAGCATATTTTTCAAACAGAAAAAAAAATGTCAGAATAGCATGATTTTGTTAAGTTACATTATATCTTAATGTGCTGCATTCCAAATTTTATATGGAGAGCTTCGTATCTCAGAAGCAATAGTTGTGCTAAATTTTTTAAAACTGAGAAAAATCTCCACTTAAAGATACTTAGACGTAGAAGTTCATGAAGAGAAAGTAGGTGTCTCTAAATATACTAACTGGCCCCACTGAAGACCCAGGATGAGTGGTGAAGACCAAAGCTGTCTTCCATATATGACATCCATTGCCAGTTACTTTTTTCTGTCATGTCTTCATCAATTTGGTTAAAGTATTTTTACCATCAGTGAATTTACCTCTCCTTTCCACAGAGCCATGGAAGAATATTGTTATCTGGATCAGCCTACACAGATGTCAGTTCCTACTTGATTAATTATGAGATGCAACAATTCAGAGAATAATATGTATTGCAAGCCCCACCACAGAAAAAATCTTCCAGAAAGGTCTTCAGAAGCCAGGCCAGAGTTACCTGGTTCCTTAGCAAATGTGAGGATAAAGGATCAAAGAAAGCTGTCTAGAGAAGGGGCAACTGAACTTTTATTTTTCCTTTAATTTTCATACATCAATCCTGCTGCCACAAAAAAATTATGTCTGCTAAGTGACTTCCCTTAGGACGTGAGACTATTTCAGAAAATAGAGCAGTTGGCTTTATAGTAGGTGGCAAGTATTGGAAATAAAGAATAGACTTCTAAATTTCAAGTTCTTTACCTAGGAAGTTGAACATTTATCCCTCTCCAACTGGTTATAGAGACATATTTATGTTTGTTTGGCAAATAAGATTTCCAGAGGGATACCCAACTTTATGCTAATTCAGAGGGCCTTACTGGCAAACTTTAGCAACATAGAAATGTAACAACTACATTTCTTTGTGGTCATCCTTCACCTTTGGTTCTTTAAAATCTTTCTAGTCTGTCTTCCTCAAGGAGCCATGGGAGGTGCAAGTTTGATAAAAGTGTCCTACTGAGGGACAACAATCTGCAGTTTCTTATTCTCTGGACATTGGTCAGTTTTCCAGATAGTCAAGCAGTTCTTCACATGAGTTCCCAGCAATAGTGACAACAAGCACAAGACACTCATGAGCTCAAGTCAGCTAGAATCCCGGCATGAAAGCTGGGAAGTGAGATGGAGGGCCCAGCTATAGCTGAGGAGATATTGGCAACTGGTAGCTGTGGGGAGAGAGAGATTCAGTTTTAAGGGTGTGGTACCAGGCTTCCTCACTGAAGGGCATCTGGGGACACACACATTTGACTTGTGTGTGTGTGTGTGTGTGTGTGTATGTGTATGTGTGTTTATGTATATATGTGACAGAGTACATGAACTCTTGCAGATAGGGGAGGCAGATCTAAATATGATCAAACATATGAAATTCACGAAAATCTGATAAAAGTGAAAAAAATAAATATGACACCATCAGCAACAGGAGTAACATTATCCACCAAGACCACCATCCCCTCACTGACACCATTAAGACTCCCCGATACTCTGTGATTTTTCTCATAGAAAAATACAGACTGGATGATGAGAAATGTAGGCGTTCGGTAACTTTCACAATAGTAAAACCTTGTGAGGCTACTTAGATTTGCTGTGGAATATTATTGGGCAATCTGGCCTGACCTGTGAAAACTTTTCTTGAGGATGTCTTTCTATGGTCTACTCTGCCTCATTTATTATGACCTGACTTACTGCATCTCATAACTAGTCATGTACGAATTGACATACAACCTTTATATTTTTTTTCTCTATAAGCAACTTTAATGAACATAGAACTTATTCTCCTAAGTTCTGTTTCAGCAAGGAATTATTGGTAAATTATTGACATGTTTGAATAACATAAGTTTCTTATTGGATGGACCAGTAAGGAAGTTAGTATTGAATGTGTTCCATTTCTCTGACTATATGAGAGCTCCTGAGTTTGCTCTTCTGCATTAATTTCATTTCTGTACACATGTAGTACCTTTAAATCTCCTTTTGCTACATTTCTTCAATTTTTAGCATTTTATATATTTCATATTAATTAAATTATTCTAAACATCACAGATATATGAATATTGTAAGCTACTATTTTCACTAATTGATCTAAAATTACTAATATTTTATAAAAATCACATTTAAGTCTAATATTTTGTAGTAACATAATTAAACCATTGGTTCTGGTTGTTGTATATTGTTTTCCATTTAAACAACAGGGGCTTAAATTCTGGAAGAGTTATAAATTTCAGTTTACCAGGTTGCTGTACACTACATTAATTACTGCATTAGTGTTATACATTGATTCATATGAGCACAATTCACAATCTGCAAATTTAATTGCATTCAAAGTAACGACTTTGAAATGTTCAGGCCCTCCAAGCTTTTGAAACACTGCTATTTAGTAGTTACAAGAATGTATTAGTGTAATGCCTATTATGTTATAATTATCAGTTGAAATGGCACTGTGTGGTTAATTTAACTGCATTAATTATATCTTGTTTGTCAGCCCAACAATGATAGTGTCATTTATCCAGAGTCAAGTGCATCCAGGAGATTATACTAGGCATGTATTTTCCACTTAAAAGGTGTGTTGTTATTTATAGTTTTAAAAGTTACTATTATAAACATCTGTACTGAAATAATATTTACTGGACATAACACAATGGTTGCACTCATGAATTCACAGCAGCTGGGACTGTATGCACAAGGGCTTGTATAAGATCAGGTTAGCCAAAATTCAGCTATGGATAGAAGGGGAGCTCATAAATTCTCACTTCTATTGGAGGAGCTATTGGGAACAGATACATGCTGAGAGGAGGAATGCCTGTTTTCATCAGGGATGTGGGTCTTGAGAGGCTACCCATGCTCTGGTAGATGGTCCTGCATGCAGGCACATACAGGCAACACTAAATAGACTCAGTGGATAGCAAAAAGAGAGATAGAAAGTATGGATTTGATCCAAATATATTATTTATATGTATGAATATTAAACAAAACATTAAAACATCACTGTAGAACTTAAATTACTGATGAATTATGTCAGTTCCAGTCAACTAGAAAAAATAAATGTCAGTGTATTAGAACTGTTTCTTGGTTCATTTCATTAAACAAGATTGGGAGGGGGAAATCTAATGGCAAAAAAATTAATTTGAAAACCTTTAACAATTAAAAATATTTGCCTTCAGGCATTTCTCTTGATTAATGTTAGTTTTACATTGCTACAGTGGACTAAGTAAGTTTATTATGGAAATATCCCCAGAGACTCATAAAATGTTCTGAAACATCCAAGTCCCTCTAACTCTTACCATTCAGACTGCTGCCTTAACTCAGCCAGCTGATGGAGTCTCTTAAGTGCTTTTTCTTGTTTCTTTTCATCTTTCCATGACTTGGAAGCTACATTTCGAGCAAATTCTCGCTGCTTTAATTCTTTCAGTCTCTAGAAAAAAAGAAGGAAAACAGGAAGAATGCTATAAGTAAGCACAATATGCTTGTCTATCTACAGGGGTCTTTCTCTAGTCTTCTCAGTGTGATGTGACTCTCAGAATCTGTAGAGTAAAAGCATTCCTCACATTACCTGTGCTGTTCTCTGCTCCAGAATAAATTTCAGTAGATAAATGCGGTTGTCAACTAGACTGTTTCTCAAAGCCCATCACCATCACTACAGAAGTACACTACAAATTTGGAACCCAGGCCTTACTACAGTCACCCCGCTTACACAATTGAGTGATCTGAGTCTCTGAAAGCACAAATGGGATACATGTGCTCTCTGCAAAAGGAGAAAAATTATAGCTCATTCTTTCCTAAACTTATCTGCCCTAGTTCTTTACCTGTAAATAAAATGCTTATCAAATATACCAACTGTAATGAACTTCTTTCAGTAAACTGTTTCTAGTATGAAATATTAATTCTAAGTGAGATTCTTTTTTGGTCTTTTTGAGATAGGGTCACTTTGTTGCCCCAGCTGGCCTGGAACTTACTATGTAGACCTGGCTGGCCTTGAACTCACAGATATCTGCCTGCCTCTGCCTCCCGAGTGTTGGGATTAAAGGCATATGCCACTACATCCAGTCTAAATAGGATTCTTTTTTTTTAATGTGAATGAGTGTATTGCCTGCATGCATGTGAGTACACCCGTGTTGTGCAGTGCTGCAGAGGTCAGAAGAAGGCTTCAGATTCCCCTGGAAGTGGAGTTAAGGATGGTTCATAGCCACCATGTGGGTGCTGGAAATTGACCCCAGGTACTCTTGCAAGAGCAGTCAGTGCTCTTAACCACTGAGCCATCTTTAAAGCCCCCTAAGTGGGATTTTTAATGAATTTAAATATGCAGATATGTACCAAATACAAACCAGTTTGCAAAAATGGATCAGGAAATTAAACTCAAGATATTGGCTTAGGCATCTTGATATAAATTACCTATTGTCCTTTTCATTATTTTCTCTAAAACAATTCATTGATAAACAAATTAGCTATTGTTTATTATCTGTTTGGTTTTTCTCCTTTAGAATCTGCAAAGCAGTACACTTCACAATATTGAATGAATCAGGAAAAGACACCATCAGATGAGCATCTTGAATCTTGGGGCTTAATGCTGAATTGAGAGTTTATTTGAAAACTAGCCTCTTTTAACCCATACAAAATGATTTTAAAGAGTCTAAAATCTGTATCTGTATTTCATTTCCCAAATCAGGCATAAAGAAGCTCCCCAGGTAAGCAAAAAGCTACAAAGCTGTCAATAATCCAGTAGCAGACTATTTCCCACAAGTAAAGCAAGGGCCAAAATCTTTAATGATCATTAGCTTCATTTTTGAAAGGAGTATGCCCATGGGAGATGGTGGCCAGGTAACCACATCTAAGCTAAGCATCAGAAGGAGGCAGACCAGTCTCTCTAAAGAAGAATATTCTGAACTCAAAGAGCAAGAGTGTCACAGAGCTGGAAACAACCACAGGGAACACAGTGGATTCAACCTGAATTCAATTTTTATAAATACTTTATCTTTCTTTTAAAAGTGGAAAATCTCAAGAAATAAAGTATGTCGCATGTGTTATCAGAAAAGGAAGAAAAGATGACTAGATGACTCCTGGAGGAGCTGACAAACAGAGCTAATCAGGAACAGGTTGATAGCCTTGGTCAGAAGATAGAGCAGCTTATAAATTTCCCATTCCTGATTACTTGTGCATTCTCAGGCTCCATATGCTTGATAGCCCAGGTGTTGTAGTGAAAGCTTGTCTTATGAGCAACACCTCTTGGAAATTGTGCTGCACAACTTTAAGAGCACTCATAAAATTTAGTTAACTGTGTCAGTGGGAGATGTTGGTCATTTTCAGTGAGGAGAGGAGCATTATAATCTGGGTTACTAATATGTGTAGAATGATGCATTCATATTGAATTGACACTTGGCATTAACAGAATATAAATCTTGTGTAACTGAGTGGAGAAAGTGGATTCATTTATCTGTGAAATTTATATTTGGTTCCTTATGATTGGAGGCTTATTTGAAACTCTGGAGTTAACTTGTTTCTTCCATTATTTCCCAGATTCTAGGAACACACTTCTACCTCTCAAATACAGAAATGATAATGTTTTCATTCAGTCTCATTTTCCTGCCATAAGTATGGTCAGTTCCTACAATGGAGTACAGACCTGTACAAATCAAGGTGATAGATAAGTGAACATATAGCTTTATAATATAATACAGAGTCCTAATTTTAAATAATGCACAGAAAACACTTTGGAAGTAGACAGGAATAATTAAGAGATTTCTTATGTTGAGCCACAAAAGTGAAAATTCTTTTTGAGGAACACAGAAATCTGGAAGAAGAAATTTTATGTAGATATATAGCCAGATTTGGCCCAACCAGTTGGGAAAACTCAAAGTTGTATAAAGAAAAGAACAAGGACAGAAAGAATCAAAAACCATGAGAGATGTACCTTAAGTTTTGAGTGTACTGATCAATACATATGTGTGGAAAAACATCAACACAAACAAACTGCTCCAGTTCAGGAAAAAAACCATGCAAAGGAATTAAAGGCAGCTGCTAGAATTTATATAAGGCCAAAAATATTTCAGATTTTTGTCAATAACTACAAAATTCATAAGAGGCACTGGATGCTATGGCAGAGGACCCAGGTTCGGTTCCCATCACCCCCATAGCAGCTGACAATCATCCATAATTCTAGTTCCAGGGGATCTGACACCCACTTCTGTCCTCTGTGGGCATTGCATGGCATGGGTGCACTTACACATGTAGGCAATACACTCATACACATAAAATAAAAATAATAAAATATTTTTTAAAAACTCATATGAGGCTGGGCAGAGAGTTCAGGGAAATCTGCTGTAGTAGAGAGTAGTTAGCTATCTGCTGGGCACAACTTTGGATTTGCCTAATACATCATAAAAGCAAGGACTAGGAGAATAAAACTGATTCCAAGTTATTTAGATGGATGACAGGCACTGATCACAAAACAAAAGCAAAAAACAAAAAATAAAAAAACATAAAAATGCAGTGAATTGCCTTGAAATTTCTTGAAGAAAGAGTACTATCGAAGTAAAACTCTATAACAAGATCTCTTTGTAAAAAGGTAAAAAAAAATTCAGTCATGAAATTCAATCCCTTTAGACATAAATAAAAATTTTAATAAAACTCATGAAGTAAAAATGAAAATAATATCAGATAGAAATGTTTACACAAAAGAATAAACAGAAGAAATAAGAACATCATGATAAATAAGATAATTTTATTAATCATTCAATTATTTATATTGCTTAACAATTTAGCTAGATTTTTTGAGTTTTACAGTAGGCCTGGAAGGGGAAAAATATCAGTGTACTGTTGAAATGTTTCTATATTATATATGAAATAGTGTCATAATAATTGGGAGTAAATGGTAAGTTAAAGAAAGGTACTATCAATTCTATAGCAACTATTTAATTAATAAAGTGATTTTAGGCAACAAGACCAAAAACAAAATAAAATAAATGATTGAATTAAATTTAAGGAATCTAAAAGAAGGGGAAAATTCTAAAAAAAAGAAAAATCAAAGCAAGACAGCTTCTTGGAGCCAGAAGCTTGCCTGAGTAAGTTTGGCTGTGCCCACTGTGCCTTGACTCCCTAGCCTCATTCACCCTCCCAGCTCCCCCACCCCACCTCTCCTCCTAGCAGGGGACTGGCACTTTTCCTGTTTGGCAACCCAGACCTCTGGACTGACCTCTTGGCCCAAACTTCCCATTGTTTCCTGATCCTTTGCATCCAGACCAAACCAATTCCTTCCTCTAGTTCCTACCTCCCTTTGCATCTCTGAGCAGCCTGGCCCCACCGTTTCTTGGAGCCAGCAGCTTGCCTGGGTAAGTTTGGCTGCACCCATTGCACCTTGACTTACCCAACCTCATTCACCCTCCCAGCTCCCCCACCCCATCTCACCTCCTAGCAGGGGTACTGGCCCATCTCTTGTCCTGACACTCCAGACCCATGGATTGACCTCTTAGGCCAGAATCCCCACTGCTAGGGGATCCCTTTGCATCCCTGGGACCCAGCATCTTTCCTGGACCCTGCTCCCAGGCCAGCCCAGCCCTCAAATTCCTAAGGCCAGCACCTTTCTTGGAGGGATCCAGACTTTAGGATAAAGCCTAAGAGCACTAGCACTGTTCCTCATCCAACTTTGGCCCCTTGGGAAGTCCTGAGCAACAAGATGAAAGCAATTTGGCCACTCCAGTATAGAATCAAAAGAGAGAACCTGAAGCCTAGACCAACTATCTTCTCATACCCAACATGAAAACCACAAAGGCACATAAAGTTTACAAAAAAGAAACAGACCTAAACTCAACAAAGGAAGGCTTCAGTCTCACACAAGCACCAGAATCTATAAAGGAAATCTACATGTCAAAGTCACAGAGAAAAAGTACTAACATGAAAAACCAATAAAATATCCCCACCATGTACCATCAGTCCGCTAGAGGAGTACAATGAGAGCCCCTAGAGATAACACAGGACATGGAACTCAAAAGAACAATTATAAACATGGTAAAAAGAATTCAGTGAATTTAAAAAACACACAAAGAAAGAAATCAAAGAACTGAAAGAAGATAGGGATAAACTTCTGAATAAATTCAGAGATAAGTTAAAAATATTGAGAAATGCTCAGGTTGAAATGAAGAAGGAAGTCAAACATTCAGTAAGCCAATTAGAAACGACAGGAGGAAGCCTCACCAATAGGAAGAATGAAATTGAAAACAAAATATAAAGACTGGAAGATAAAATGGATGAATTAGAACACAAGCAAAGATTATGAAAAATTTAAGAGAACACAAGAATGGAATATGCAGGAACTGTGTGACACCATAAAAAGACCAAACTTACACATCATAGGCAGAAAGGAAGGAGAAGAATCTCAGGATAATGCCAATGATATGGACCAGATCTTCAACAGGATTGTAG